AAATTGATATCAATAAGAATAACCCTATTGATATCTTTATAACATCCCGATTGGAACCTTATTGTATCCTATCTGCGCCATTAATCGTCATCAATCGGGATCACCTGATTCTAAAAAAATAAAAGAATGGGGAACCAATCAGGTCAAATCTGGCAACCCAGATTTGACCTGATTGGTCCCCTATTTGCCATCGTTCGACTAGTGATAGCCAATGCTATAGCAAAACCACGCCCACTTTCTGAACTATATGGAGAAGTTATTAATGTAAAGGAAATGGAAGATTTTCTAGAAGCTTATCCCAATTTCTTGAGTGAAGAGCCCAGTATAACTTTAATTTGCTCTTCTATGATGACGGGAAAAACAAAAGGGTTAAAAAAGCATATTAATTCCTTAGCCAAAAGTAAAGTCAAATTACCTTGCATTATCTGGATTTCTTATCGAAAAACTCTTAGTAATGAATCGCAAGGCAAAATTAATGATCTTAAATCATCTGGACTCAGAATCTGTAACTATCAAGATGAACCAAACTTATCTGTAGATAAATGGGATATTATTATAGTCCAAGTTGAGAGTCTTTCTCGTATCGAATTCTCAGCCTGCTCACTAGTAGCTATTTTGGATGAAACCAATACGATTTTCCGCCAAATGAGAGTGGTACAAATGCACAAGAATCTGAAAACACAATGCGTGATATATTAAAAATGACCCAGCATGTATTAGCAATAGATGCCTTTGCGAATGCATCAACTCTAACCTTTCTCAAAGCTTATTGCAGTGAAAATATTCGAGTGATTGATAATAAATTTCAGCCTCTTGTAGATAAAACTGTTGAGTATCTTTATGATCCAAATAGCGGGGCTGAAGCTATGCGAATAGGATATGAGTTATTACAGCAAGGCAAGCGCGTGGCATTTGTTCTAACAAGTTGTAATATGGCCTGAGCATTGGTAGAAAAAGCCTCTAAATTGCAAAAGCCTGATAATTCTCATATCAGAGCCCGTGCTTATTATGGAGATATGGACGGAAAACAGCAAAAAAAAGATTTCTCAGATATAAATACCGCTTAGGATGAGCTTGATTGCGTAGCCTATACAAGTACAGTAGAAGCTGGTATTTCTTTCGAAAAAACTAATCACTTTGATGCAGTTATAGGCATTACAAATATTACAACTCCGGTTAATGTCGAAGCATTTATCCAGATGATGTTTTGAATTCGTGATTGTAAAAAGCGTATACTATCCTTCTATTATCAAAAAAATTCCAGTGATCTTTTTTGCCCACCAGGTTACGAAAATATTTGTGTTGAGCTTGAGAGTGCTCGGCTTAATAATTTGCCTACAGCAATAAGGGGGTATCGTGAATGGGATAAAAATATTGTATCATATAAACTTGATCAATCACCTGCCGTAATATCATACCTTGAAGTTGAACATCAAAAACGTTTTTCTGCAAGAAATTTTATTGAAATATCATGCAGTCTTATAGCTAGTACAGGTGCTTCTCTTCAACTTATAAAAATGGATGAAAGCCGAGGTGTTATAGGGAATCACAAAAAGATCTGTAATGAGGTTAGAGTTGAAGCATTAGTTATCAAGGAATCTGATTTTGATGCGGTTGCTACTTCCCAGAATCTCAGTCCTGAAGAAGCCGAAATTCTTAAGTTTGATTAAGAACGCTCTATTTCAGATACTATGGCTCTTAAACATTTCTATATGCGGAATCCGAAATTCTTAAGTTTGATTAAGAACGCTCTATTTCAGATACTATGGCTCTTAAACATTTCTATATGCAGAATCTTTATGGCAAAGACATGGATATAGAAGATTGGAATAATCTATGTAATAAAAATTTGTAGAACGTTTCAGTCTGCCTAAATCTCAAAAACATTTTTTGTGATTATCTCACTTCTGAAAGCAAGGTTACAATGAAGATAGTGCAATAGAAAGTTTGGTTGCTAAAGATTTTGTACAATGAGAGGTTACCTGTTATAAAGCCGAAGAGAATTTAGAAAAATCAATAGCAGAGGACTTATGTAAAACTTATTCAGCTAATCATTGGAAAATTATACAAGAACTCTTTAAGATATTAGGTTTTACTGCATTGATGATAAGCATGTTCTTCCTGGCAATATTATATCAGAAGCATTCACACAATCCTGTAAAAGGTTTATAGAAATCTGAAATCAATCCTTACTGCTCTTTGGTTTTAAATCTCATGCTAAAGTAACACCAGATCTTAATTCAGCTATAAAGACAATCAATACAATCACTAGTAATTGGTGTGACTATACTATTAAAAGTGATAAAAAAAGAATAGGGTCTAAAGGAAAACAAGTTTGGCAATATTCATACAAAATTAATCGCCAGTCATATAACGGTACTGGTTTTGGAGATAAAGGTGTTTCAGAGCTTCCATCATATAAGCTAAAAACAGATAACGAGATTCAGGAACTCTTTGATTCTATAGAGCAGGAAAAATAGTACTTCAGCCTATTATTCAGCATTTCGGCTAGGTGTCTCAACCCATATCTGATTCCATTTTATTTTTTTTTACCCTCACAATAGGCATTCTTATAAATTCCACCATGTGTATTACAGATTCCAGTATTGGAATAGGTTTTCTTATCACAGATAGGGCATATTGTTTTAGGACGGGTTTTATAATGTATGGCACATCCTGAAGCACGCCAGCACCCTTTCCCACAAATCGAACCATCTTTCTTGATGTATTAGCAGGATAAACGATCCATATGAGGTAATTTTGATATTAATAATCTTAAAACTTCATCTTCACTTTTATTATAGATAT